CCCCTCCCCCCCCAATCCAACTTTAACCCATCATCAAACCAGCTTGGGACATTTATCATACACTGGATCACATAAAGTGCTGACTGGTGGGGTATGGAGGGTACTTCCTGTGGGCGGAGCTGTTGTAGATATCTACCAATCCCTCTTTCTTTTATGTTTCTTTTGTTTATCTTTGTAACAATAAAAAGGAGACTGAAAAGTCTCCTTTTCAAATGGTGTATTCAGTCTAACATTTTAAAAAAAAGTAAGCCGACAGCAGGTATCAGACCAACGTACAACTCTGTTCTATAAGAGGCGTCCTATGTTGCATGCAGGATACAAGGTGGAGGGGTAGTTTGATGTTTTTTAACTCAATTTTACCATTTTCTTTCTACAAAATGAGGAGTGACCCTGGTGACCCCCAGATGATGACTGAACAAAGATGGTGCCATCCTTCTAGAGAGAAAAGCAGTTGAAGGCATTGTCTTGTCCTGTGATCTCTGTGGGAGGTAATAAATACCTGGAAGGGTCACATGACACATACCTCAGCTTGATGCACTGATCATGAAGATATACTGTACACCTGATGACATCTTCACGTTCATTTGACTACATATAGATGGCGGGTGGTGTTGCTGTAGTCCTCCACTAGGAGTCAGGTTGTGTCTGTGATCCGGAGATGGAATGTTTCTGCTATAAATAGCTGTAGAAGATGATTGAATTTACATAATGTTCATAGAGGAGGATGTTGTCCCCCCAATGTCTGTCCTCCGACACCCTGCAATTGTTTCTTCTTTTATCTGTTATATTATATTCTTCCTCTCTCATTTTTCTGTATTCAGTTTTATTTTGAATTCTTTCCTTTATGGACACACATACACAGAGTGAAATACAACAAGATGCCGGATACATTGTATACCTAAGAGAGAATCATCCCATAGAAGAAGATACATTTTATACACTGGAGATAATCCTCCCATAGAAGAAGATACATTGTATATCCCGGAGAGAATCGTCCCATAGAAGAGGATACAATATATATCCCGGGGAGAAATATCCCATAGAAGAGGATACAATGTATATCCCGGAGAGAATCGTCCCATAGAAGAAGATACATTGTATATCCCGGAGAGAATCGTCCCATAGAAGGAGATACATTGTATACACTGGAGAGAATCCTCCCATAGAAGAGGATACATTGTATATCCCGGAGAGAATCATCCCATAGAAGAAGATACATTGTATATCACAGAGAGAATTATCCCATAGAAGAGGATACATTGTATATCCCGGAGAGAATCATCTCATAGAAGAGGATACATTGTATATCCCGGAGAGAATCATCCCATAGAAGAGGATACATTGTATATCACGGAAAGAATCATCCCATAGAAGAGGATACAATGTATATCACGGAAAGAATCATCTCATAGAAGAAGATACATTGTATATCCCAGAGAGAATCATCTCATAGAAGAGGATACATTGTATGTCCCGGAGAGAATCATCCCATAGAAGAAGATACATTGTATATCACGGAGAGAATCATCCCATAGAAGAAGATACATTGTATATCACGGAAAGAATCATCTCATAGAAGAAGATACATTGTATATCCCAGAGAGAATCATCTCATAGAAGAGGATACATTGTATGTCCCGGAGAGAATCATCCCATAGAAGAAGATACATTGTATATCCCGTGTTCATAACATTTCAAAAGTAATTATTAATATTATTGAATTAATTTTAAAAAATCCCTGGTAATCTTTCATTTGTTCAGACACTTCCTGTTATAGGGTGACAACGCTTTGCCCCTGTCTCCCAATAATGCTCCTGTGTTGTCACCTTGTCACATGGGCTCTTATTCAGCTTCCACATGCAATGTTATTTCAAAAGACATTTTCAATCTTTATAAATCTGCAGCTTTCATTAAAATAATCCCCGGTAATCCTGCCATGAAGGTCCTTGCTCAGGCACTTCCTGTTATAGGGTGACAACGCTCTGTCCTTGCTCAGGCACTTCCTGTTATAGGGTGACAACACTCTGTCCTTGTTCAGACACTACCTGTTATAGGGTGACAGTGCTCTGTCCTTGCTCAGGCACTTCCTGTTATAGGGTGACAACGCTCTGTCCTTGCTCAGGCACTTCCTGTTATAGGGTGACAACGCTCTGTCCTTGTTCAGACACTTCCTGTTATAGGGTGACAGTGATCTGTCCTTGTTCAGGCACTTCCTGTTATAGGGTGACAATGCTCTGTCCTTGTTCAGACACTTCCTGTTATAGTGTGACAGTGATCTGTCCTTGTTCAGGCACTTCCTGTTATAGGGTGACAACGCTCTGTCCTGGTTCAGACACTTCCTGTTATAGGGTGACAACGCTCTGTCCTTTTTCAGGCACTACCTGTTATAGGGTGACAACGCTCTGTCCTTGTTCAGTCACTTCCTGTTATAGGGTAACAATGCTCTGTTCTTGTTCAGGCACTTCCTGTTATAGGGTGACAATGCTCTGTCCTTGTTCAGCCACTTCCTGTTATAGGTTGACAATGCTCTGTTCTTGTTCAGACACTTCCTGTTATAGGGTTACAATGCTCTGTCCTTGTTCAGCCACTTCCTGTTATAGGGTGACAACGCTCTTCCCTTGTTCAGACACTTACTGTTATAGGGTGACAACGCTCTGTCCTTGTTCAGAAACTAGGGTGACAATGCTCTGTCCCTGTGTCAAAGTTGTCCTCCTGCGTTGTCACACAGGCTTCTGATGGAGACTACAAGTGCCCATTTCATCACACATTACACAGACATGATCCACTGTTGTCACCATCAGGAAACCCGTCCTGAGAAATGCCATGCAGTCATCACTGGAGTGCATGTAAACAGGAAGTGGCTGCAAAGAGGCTGCAGGAGATCAGCAGCTCTGAGATACAATAAAGGTAAAAACAGGGATTATATATTTTATAAAAATGAGTTATTTATGAACACAGTGCCCGGACCAAACTAACTGTCATTTGGTTACATCTACACTACATTTATGTTGATACAAATCTCCTGTATTCTTCTTATATGAATCCATCTTTCCTCATCCATTTGGATCAGGGGGTGTTGAAGGTGCTTCAGCATGTCATTCAGAGTCATCATAGAGCAATAGTGCCTGGGATGAATTGTATTCTCCATTGGAAGTCCACCTGACAACGCAGGAGAACAATTGGGAGACAGGGAAAGAGTGTGGTCAGCCTATAACAGGAAGTGCCTGAACAAGGACCTCCGTGGTGGGATCACCTGGAATTATTTTTATGAAACCTTTAGATTTCCAATGACATTTAATATGAAGGTTGTGAGATTTCACTGATTGGTTTTACATCCCTGCACTCTGATCGGCTCCATTAGAGCAGCAGCCATGATCGCGGTTGCTATGGTGACCGCTTGCCCTGACTGACACCGCTCTGGCTCCTCCCTCCTGCTGTCAACAGTGGAGAGTCGCTAGGCGGCAGCACCGGCCTTTTAAAAAAAATGTGGGCGGAGTTACACTCATCTGGCGTAATCTATTCCTCCGATTGGGCTCACTCCGGGCAGTGGGCGGGGTCTACCTGAGGGAACGCGCTCGCGGGCGTGTGCGGTGCTGTAGTGCCTGACTGAAAAGGCGTGGCTCGCGAGCTGAGAGGGTGGAGCCTAGCTGAAGGAATGCCCTCGCGGGCGTGTTTTGGGCGGGAAAGGCATGTGGGCCTCCGTGGTGGGTGTGGTTTAGGAGTGAGGCGGACGGGCGATTGGGCTGTACCCCGTTGAACAGGGCACGGCCTAACCGAGGGAATCCGCTGGTGGGCGGGGAAGGCCTGTGGTGGCTGCGCTGGAGGGCGTGGCCTGGCAGTCGGGTTTGTGTGTGGAGACGGTTCATGAGGTTAGTCCGGACACTCCGCCACCACACCGGGCTCCTCCGCCTCCCCAACATGGGGCCGTAGCCGGCC